CCAAAACGGTTAATGCAGTGCTTTTGTAAAAACCCCTTGAATTAAAGCTGAAAGTCTGCACTTTAATCACATCTTGATAGCCTTATTTAAAATCCACTGTGCTTGTGTGTACAGGCAAAATTTACAGTCCAAATACTTATGAGCCTGACTGTATGCACACAGAGACTCAGAGATGATTCTGTGGAACTATGCACATCCAGCTTTACTAGTCTGGGTTTGCTGCTCAGTCCTATTATCATATAAATGTTCTTTGCATTATAACCACAAATTTATTAAAATTACTGTGGAGGATAATGAGTATAAGAACTCTGGAGAAAATAATGACATCCCGTGCTCTGTGTCTATAGATTACAGTATTAACTATTAATAAGAGAGACTCGCTTGACACCCCCACTCCACACACACCTCCTTGCTCCCACACATTCTCACGCAGAGACCGTATCATTTGCCTGCCTTTCCCCAACCTTTATTATGTTAATCAGTCCATCGATAATCTATTTTTAGCCCTGAATCTCCACCACTCTGCTTCTCCCTCTTGGTGACTTCCTGTCTAATTATATAAATATGCGAATGAACACAGTTCACATTCTCAAACACACTTGCAAGCTGCTGTGGATGCACTGCGAGGTTAACCAATCAGCCTTTTACCCCCCTCTCTCTGTCTCCTTCTCTGTTGCTGCCTCTCTCTGTGTTTCTCTGCTTGCCACTCTTCCCTCCACTCTATAATTTAGCAAAGGTCTTTGTCCTCTTATCATCTCACACCCAGCTGAGTTATTTCAGTATATCATCTATTTTAGCTTTTGCTCTAAATGGACTTTCCTTGTTGTGTTTCTACATCGTCTCTCTCTGTTCTCTCCCCCACACACATCCACAGAAAATATTCTGTAGTTCTTCGCTGTCAGGGTTTGAGGCAGACAGTGTCTTTCCCTCCCAGAGAGGCAGCTCCAAGGTTTTCTGTTTTATTGTGGATTTAAGTCATTTGAGCCATAAATCTCGGTAGTGCTCGTATTCCTGCAGCGTCACCTCTGAGAGGGTTGGGTACACTGGCTGATTGTGATGCAAAGACCATTTTTGGCTCACAGCCGATTTTAACCTTTTATTAGCAAAAGCATGAAACCCAATCAATAGTCAACCGCAGCAGTGTTTTTGGCTGTGTGAGAGCATCACTGCCTCCACTTTGTGGAGTCTGCTGCTATTTTTTGTTTTAATTTGAGCACCTGTGCAGTTGCATCATTTATTAACTCTTTCCCCCATAAAGATGACATTTGATGACCCCTCTGCACTCTTAATGACAACGTTTGACACCCGTGTGTGGATATCAGTAAAGATGTAGTTTGATGATCATTAGAATAGTTTCCGGGATTTTCCAAGGGTAGCTGCACAGGCAGAGACAGCCCTTACTAACTGGAAATATGATAGAAAAGATTTCAAGCGGTAAATATTTAAAGCATTGTTTAGGTCTTTGTGTCTTCACATGAAAAAATATGAAGAGAAAATTGCCAAAACCAAACTGAAGGAATTTCAGGGAAAGAAAAGAGACTGGTTGCTTTTCTTTACATGCTCCTTAGGTTGCCATGTCCTGGATGAATGAGAACCTACACAGACAGTTACGGATTAAATTGTTTCTGCCTTCACTTTTAAAGTTTTCCCAGATACGAAAACTAAAGTTGGTAAGGTTAAGTAAAGATGAAGACAGGTGAAATATGGTAACCGAGGCAGAAGGAACAATGCTTGGATTTTTCTGGAAACGATGTTCTTTGTAATAAAAACTTCATAGGTATTTACTGGGAGGAAGGAGGAAGAGCACAGGAAAATAGGTAATGCACTCTGAGCAGAAATGTGTAAGGATAAAGGAGAAACGAGGAAAAGTATCTCAAACCCAGATACTCGATCAATATTTCCAGCTCAGATCCAACAAGACGTACTCCCTCCCTCTCTCCCACTCTGCCTCTCTCAGCTCAGTTGGTGTGTCCACTGAAGGAAGCTGTGGGAGAAGGCTATCAGCAGGTCATCAGTATGCCAGCAGGCTCTGCCTACTCTGGTGTGGGCAGCAGAATAATTTCAATCTGATCTTACAGATCAATAGCTGTACTCCGTGGAAGGCGGCCAGCACCACCTGGCCAGCTGGGGATATTCAGCGTCACACTGCACATGCCGTGGTCGTCCTTCTTTTTCTTCTTCTTCTTCTTTGCAATTGTTCTTTTAAAGCGTGTCTTTGCACCCAAACGTACTGCAGCTATTTGACTGTTTAAACTCGGCTCCACGAAAAAATATAAACACTCTGGTGTATGCATGGTTGCACATCATTTTGACATCAGTCCATGGCTACATGCCTCAACAGCTGAAGGTACCTGTAGTGGAAGAGGTTTATCTTCAGGGGACATGAGATGGTAGAAAAAGCGATAGAGTGTATGTGGAGAGGATTGCGGTAGATAAATACATCAGACACATGATTTTCGCTCAGGAGACTGGGATTTGTGTCCTCAATCAAGCCAAGAATCACTATTGAGTCATTATTTTGTGGACCTCTTGCACGTCTTCTTTTCAGTTTGCTTTAGTATAGCAAAATATTTTTTTAAAGGAGTAACCACATTAACACTAAAGACAGCCTCTCTGGTAATCTGTGTCTGTGTGCCTATGGCATTGTTGACATTGGTGTTAATATCATCTGCATTATTCCTTTAAGTGTAACAGCTGAGTGTAGTTCAAGTGGCATTGAAGACCATTTTCGCAGGAGCATGTGAGGCTGCGTTAGGGGGTGTTTGTGTTTTTGAAATTGTATCTAAAATGGTCACCTGACACTATGATGCAATCTTGTAAAATAAGCCTCCAAAATACGTCATGTTTGTGGAGATTATGATGATAAATGTTTGCACAGACTGAGTCAGAGGAGTGATGAGTCAGCCAATGGAGGTGGGGAAGATTTTATTATACCATATGAAATAATGCAATCCAGTATGAAAACATAAAAACTACAGCCTGAAAGAAATTCCCATCAATACTTCTGAAGTTGGTGGACTATATATAATATAATAGCCGAGGCAGATTTTCCCTTTCCCAAATGCAGAAATACAGAAGCAAATATGCACATTTGCCAAGAATGAGCATATTTGGACCTTTTATTTCTTTTTTCTTCTATGTAAGTGTAGCTTAACTGTTTTGAAGATAACAAGGATTATATATACATGTATATTATTTACAGTTTTCCTCTTAAGTACAACCAAAATATTGGACGTGCTCAGTTTTATTGTTACTGCTAGCAGAATGGTGCTAGTTCATTAATATTTATGAGCAGACATGATCAATTTTTCAGGGGAAAAAAGCTTAAATTGTGTATTGTTTAAAAGCAAAGCCTCTGCCAAAGTTTACATTTCTGTTCAAGCTTAATTATGCAGAAAAACTCAATTTTTGTAAGTTAAATAAACAAATTAACTGAATGTTTATTTTATGGATCTTAGAGCTCTTTATAAGTCTTAGTGCCATTCACATCATTGTCAACTAATTTAATATTGATCTGAGTCCATCAAGTGATGGGAAGGGTGATACATACTCACAGCGACGCACACTGCACTCTCGTTCCAGTGGGGTTGTGGACTCACGGTGTCCGACTGAGCTGTGATCAGCTTGGAAATGGGATTATTATGGGCACACTTGGTCACTTTGCTAACAATCACAGTCAAAAACGCAAGTACACAGTATAATCACACATTTAGATGCACACAGAGAGAGAAAAGTACAAAAAAGACACCACAGTCTGTGCGCAGTGTGGCCATGTTTTAAAGTTTAATAGATGTCTGCCGATGTCTGATGTTCTTGGTGTTGCTTCCTCACTCATTAGGTGTTGCCAGGCTGCCATCTTTGCTCCCAGTAGTGAAGTAAATACAGCTGAGAATGTTCAGTGGATGCAGTACAGGAATAAAGCAGTGACAGACGATCAATAGACAAATAATGATTAGGGGGAGAGTTAGAGGATGCTGCAGCCACCCCTCTCTCTCTGCATGCACGAGTGTGTCGTGTATGAGCCCACAGCACCTCATCCACCTGCTGTTTTAATCTCCCACAGCTCACACTTCTGCTGTGATGCCTGTAAGCATTTTATACCCTCTGTTTATACCTGAGAACATGTACCCAATTTTAGCTTTCCAAAAACTTGCTTTTCAGACCTGTACACTTGGACGTGGCACAAATCGTACACTTTCTGGTAACCCGCGCAGCCAGATCAATCCGACTTAGCTGTTACACTGTGGACCCGAGTCCTGGGAACAGCTCAGAGCGGTCTCCCTGTCTGCTCCATACCAATGATTGTTTTCAGGCGTGATCGATAGAGAGCAGGCATCAACGGCAGCATACTTTACTGAGCCCGAACTGTAAGTCCACTTGGCAGAGACACAAACACAGCACCTCATTAAACTCAAAACTCCCATTGCTGCCATCACAGAGCCGAGCCTCGACGCCGCTGCGCTGATGGAGATCTCCAGAGCACTGATGCAGGAAGGCTCTAATTGCTGCATGGTAATGTGGTGCGTCTGCATTCCTGCTGTTTCTACAATAATCCAATCGGCGCTGTATTGTGTGCTGTGTAAGGAGGTTTGAGTTATGCTTCCTAAAACTGCCATATTGATTCACTCATTACTAAAGAAGCATTGGATTGGCTCATAGGAACTGAATAATGGTGGTTTGCTGTTGGTGTTTTGCTCTCCCTGCTCTTCTCTCGCTGTCTCTCACTGTCACTCACACACACAATTGTGTGAATGGATTTGGCTATCACAAGTGATGACTCCTCAGTCACCCACTTCTGTTCCATTTCCCTTCCCCTCCCACTTCCTCTCGTACACTTTGTAGCCTCAAATCTGCCGTCTTTTCCCATCCAGCCCTTTTTCTGAGCGCTTTCTCTGCCTTCCTGCCTTTTCTTCTCAAGTGCCCCATTTGGTTCTAATGACCTCTCCCTCCCTCCTCTCCCCTCCTCTTCCTCCTCGCCCTCTCTCTCTCTGTCTCTGCAGGTACCACCAGGCAACCTAAGGAGGGGGAGGTGCCAGGGGTGGACTACAACTTTGTGAGTGTGGAGCGTTTTATGGAATTGGAGCAAAGTGGAGCCCTGCTAGAGAGTGGAACCTATGAAGGTGAGCTCTGGGAATGCTGCTGTGCACAAAATAGGCTTCATCTGCAGGACAAGTACAGGTGCACGGGGAGGAAAAATGGGAACGTATGTTTCGGTAGTACCAGTTTTCTATTTTTAAAATGTTTATGTATATACATACACTGCGCAACAACATGTGTATATTTATTTGATTAATTCGATGCGTCAGGTGATGCTCAAATAAACAAAATGAGTCTTGTGCACTGATTTTATTCAGTATCATAGTTTCCTCCTGTGGTTGTTCAACAGTTTGTGTGTATGTGTGTGCGTGAGCTGGACGAAAGCCATTTCCAAGTCATGTCAAGTCTGTGCATCTCTGCTTTGCTACACTGTCAGGGATATGTCTACAGATGGGGGATTTGCTGGTTCATTTGCCCAGAAGCAGTTTTATTTTTCTCCTCTGTGTGCAACTGAACACACGCACACAAATTATGTGTGTGTATGTGTGTGTGTGTGTGTGTGTGTGTGTGTGAATGTAGGGGATATGGGCGCATGTATGGTTATATGTGTGTTCCTGTCTTCATGTTCATGTCACAAGTGTGTGTCTGCAGTGTGTCTGCAGCGTACATTTCCCTTGACACCGAGCTTAGTTATACCCACTGGGGGGAACTGTCTCTTTCTGGGTGGCTGCACTAGAGGTGCTGCAACTCATTTTGTAATGCATAATAAAATAAGAGAGTGGAGACGGAAGAATCAGAGACCGGATGTATGCCGGGTGATATATGGGTGTAATTTGATTATGGAATAATTTATAATTTCATTAACTCAAATTACTGTTTTTCACAATGTGAAAAAAAGCCTAAATTGCATAACTGAGAGATGGGCTTCATTTCTGTCTTATAAATTAAAGCAAGGATAGCAGTGAGTCTGGGAGTCTTGACAGCAGCATACGCTTTCACTGTTTCCTTGGAGATGCACTCACCTGTGACGTTTGTTAGCGTTACACACTGAAATGGTCTGGTTTTCCAAAGCACATCTCTGAACTGACCACCATGCAGTTTAAGGTTACTAAAGCATGATAAAGTCTTCTAACACCTGAGATAAAAGAATGCAGTAGACTGTGAGATTTAGATTCAGATAGCTCCTGTCCCAGTTTCTAACCACAGCTTAAAAGCAGCACTGGCTGCTTCACTTTCCAGGGTTACCGCGTGTGACATGGTCCCCTTTTACAAAGCCAAAGCTTGCTAAACGTGGAGAACAATTCAAAAACCCCATTGCATATATTTTGTCAAATTATTTTGTTGTCGTTGTTGTTGTGTAGCTGCTCCGATTGTTTTTCCTTTCATTGTTTACACTATGTAAAAGGACAGCCTTCTTAATTCTGTGCTTTCATGTGCAATTGTCTTCTCTTTGTGTAGAGAGAGAAACGAAGACTTTAAAAAAAAAAAAAAGCAGACAACAAAAACAAACTCAGTGCCTTTAAGAGAAAAAAAATTAAATGCAGGCAGTGAGGGAGACTAAAATCAGACGCGGAGTCTGGACACTGTATTCCATGTGGGTGTACATGTGAATGCAAGAATTGGTGCACATAGGAGCTTACGTATGTGATCATGTGAGATGAGTCACAGCTGAAGGTGGATGTTGAACTGTACAAAAACCAGGATGCCTTCAGGCGTCTCGAGCATTCAAGATCAAGGGAAGAGTTTATTTTTAAAACTAACGTGAGGCATGAGGAGGAACTCTGGCCTAAACTTACCCCAGAAAGCCTTAAGTTCTTTGAAGGATCTCTTCTTTAACCTTTCACAGGTGGGTGCTTGCTGCCTATGGGGCTTTATACTTGTGTCTTTGTCTACATGTGCCAGCGGGCGCAGATTTATATTTTTCACAGATTGTGGAGGAAGTGGTGGCTGTAATGCCTGTGCTCCTCCTGCTGGTCGTGTTGTCCTTTATTGCTGCCTCCTTCTCCCGTTCTTTGGTTTATGCTCGGTAGACTGGCGCTCATCTGTGATTAGTTTTTATGTAGTTAGCCATGTCAGTCCAAACAGTCAGCTGACTGTCTGGGCAGATGGAGGCAAACTAGATCCACAAAAGTCATAAAAAGCCATGCGGAATAAATTTGCTCAGCTTATAAATCAAAGTTTATTCTTTCACGTTGCCTAATTGTGACTTTTTACCATAAAATATACTTGCAGTGTCATATTATTATAAAATAAAAAGCTCCAGTTCTTTAGAGCTGTTCTTTAGTTGCTTTTCCTTTATGTAATTTTAATCATTTAGAGGTTTAATTAGAGAAAGTACAGGATTTCTTTTATCATATAAAAGGACATGATCTATCCCAGAGGACTTACTTATATTTGGAATTCTACATTTGAGGAGAAACTAAAATCTCCCCCCGATTCATTAAGTGCCGGCCTGCTGCTGCAGATGCCGGTGACTATTATTGAAACCCAGCCCAACTTTAACTAATCTGTTATTCCTCCCACTTACACTCTGATAATGATTCTCCAAACATACTTCCACATTTCTGTCCAACATTACAGTTGTAGCTCAGGAAGAATCAGCTTAATTAGTGAGAACAAACAGCTGGTTTGGGCTTTAGGAGCCAGCAAACTAGTGAGTCAAGTAATCTAGTACAGAAGTAATGCAGACGTGTAATTTAACCCTAAGATGCTGTGCCTGAAAATGGATCTTTCTTTTGAAACCAAATCCAGGTTTCTCCTTGCAGAAGAATATCTGTGTCTAGGTTTCTCTGCTTTTATTCAATGAAAGGTAATTAAATGCTTCTGCTAACTTGCTGCTGCTGTTCTGTTTAAATCTTTCATAGGGGTTGTGTGTTGAGGTTACACAGAGTAACAAAGAAAGTAAAAAAAAAGAAAAAAGGCTGGGACAGACTAGGAAGTCTAAGCGCTGGAAATAAACTCATCAGCCACTTTCAAGTGCTCGTTAAGACAGATATCTAATCAGACAACACGGCAACAACTGAATGCATTTAGGCTTGCAGACGTGGTTTAGACAAACTGCTGAGTGTGGCATGGTTGTTGGTGCCAGATGGGCACCAACCCACATCTCCAGGGCTTAACCAAAAGAGTCTAAAAACAAAATAAGCCTTTTCTTGATTTCTGCTGAAATTTTAAATGGCAAGGTCAGAAATGAGCACTGTTTAAACACCACCGCCTACCCGAGTATTGTTGCTGATCATGTGCACCCATCTATGACCACAGTGTGCTAGTCTTCAAGCTGGATAACACACCTGATCACAAAGCTCATCTCATCTCGTCTTGAACACGACATAGAGTACTGTACTCTCATGGCCTCCACACTCACCTGATCTCAGACAAATCTGCAGCAGCTGTCGACGCCATCACGTCAATGTGGACCAAAATCTACTTTGAATCTGTGCGACAAAGAATTAGGCCAGTTCTGAATGGAAAAGGAGGTGCACGCCGTGAAAGATTGTGTAGTCAGGTCACAAAACAAAGTGACAGTTCAGGATGAACCTCTCTCGCAGTTTTTCTCCTGTATAAAATGTGACGTTTTAGAAGTCTGTAGGGCGTTTCCTCTGCCTTTGAGCGATGAAAAAGGGTGCGACAATGATTGGGTGATAAATTTAGTGGACGATGCCGGGGGTGCCTCCTTTTCAGGAGATATGGCAGAGTTAGGAAACGCCCCCAATAGTAAAGAAATGTCATCATAGGGCAGAAAATAATTTTGCAAGTTAAATGATAAGGACATTGATGACACTGACTTCTATGTGTGGGGCATTACTTCCTGTCGTCTTAGTATTGTTGTTGTTTGTTTAGTCATTTTGTGGTGTTCAATTTTCTTTCTAAGCCGGTGTTTTTGTGGAATGGAATGGGAAATTGAGGGAGTTAGAAAATAGACAGCTTGTTTTTTTTTTTTTCCTGGGTTATTGTTTTGGGATCCTTGTTATGTTCTCTGTGATTAAAAAGCCTGTGTTCTGACTCCAGTCATGTTTTCAGACTAACGTCTATCAGAAGGCCTCTATTAAATGGAACTGCATATGCTTGTTCCTCGCTGAAACACCAGCCAGTGGGTAAATTGATTAGACTTAATAGAAATGATTTGTTACCAGGCAAAAACATGGCCTAAGTTATTTCTGCGGCACTCTGTTCAGACAGATAAATCTTTCATTTTGAAAGGCAGTCATCTGTTCAAAGCCACAGCTGTCTGCGAGCTGTGGACCTTTACTCCGCCTCCCAGACGGTGTGTTACATCACCTGGGATCCCACTTTGGTTGTGCATGTGGCCTCTAACACAAACGCTGCCTCTCTGCCCTCAGATAACTTCTACGGCACACCGAAACCTCCAGCCGAGCCGTCCCCGGCAGCCCCTCCTCTGAATGTGAGTGAGGCCCTGCTGCCCGGAGCCCGGCCAAGCGCCCAGGGCAAGAGAAAGAGGAACCAGTCAGTCAGCAACATGGAGCAGCGCGCCAGTCTGGAGCCGCCTGAGGAGGAGGAAGAGGAGAGCCCAGTTGTCAATGGCAACGGGGTGGCCATCACACCAGGTACTGTAGGATGAGTAAGAAAAATATGAATTTCCTGTTGATGCATGCCACATTTCTCTTTTACTCACAGCCAAAATTACATTCTGTTTCACAAGTGCCGTGGCCACAAAGACTTTATGTACTCATATTTCGGTGAGGAGAAAATAGAGTTTGAAGGCCTGGACTGTCCCCCGGGTTATTTGTTGCCGTCCTACTGGTATTTTTGAGTCAAACCACTGAAAAAGGCCAGTTGTCACAGCAGGTGCATAACCTGTATTGTCCCTTAAGTGGAAAATTAAGTGTCTTTTCCCTCTGAGTCCAGACTCGTGACTGCAATAGCCAAGCCAACTTTATTTATATAGCACTTTAAACA